TTGATCAAAAATAAGAGAAATTTTCAAGGATGCATAAATTTAAAGTAACGGAGAACAAAGGAAATGAACCAGAGTCGATCTACGAATGTGTCCATTAAAGGCTTTCATACAAAGTCAAGGTCTATAATATTAAACAACAACCCTGAGGCGGCTTTATGCTATTGTAACTGCTCATAATTATGGCTGCATAACATGACTTACACGTGCAGATGTAAACAAAATCGCAAGGAAATTCTGCTTACCATTAAATTTTAAAGTGAATCTATGACAAGGTTGGTTGTAAGGAATCCATGAATTGTCCCATCGGAAACAGGATTGCCAATGAATAGATGCTGACAGTCTTGAAACCCTCATGAACCAGAGCTTTCGTGTCATGTCAAAGCTCTAGTGCATTGAAGATCTCTTTGCTAAACTAATGCTTCTAGCTTTGACAACGTATGCAACAATACACAGGGTCACCAGGGTTACAAGACTGTCTAGTAACTACTTATTCGCACAGCCCAGCAGTCTCCATCCCAAAACAACCCCTGGGTTCTCTGAGATAATTCCTGAACCTCATACAAATAACTTTTCATTGAAATAACAAGTCGTCATGATAAATCATCAAGTGGTTTCTCGGACTCTGTATTTGCTTTACGACGTTTCGGTATTTTAGTCGCATGCGTGGTGTAAGGTTGAATGGCTATTGCCCTCGACATCTTATTAACGTATGCTCATCTCTGACATCGCCTGTTAAATGAAGGACGTAAGTATAGCCCGTATTCATCTGAACTTAAATAGGATGACCCAGTGACTCCGCTAATCTTACCGTCGTAGTAAAATCAAATGACTCTTCAATGGGCTCATTCGTCGTCTTCTTCAGAAGAAACAATTTATCAGAAAAATTGAACACTAAAATGCGCCACAGCTGTACATAGCAGAATTAACCTGCTAACGTACCAACAACTATTAGTTTGGTATTCATATCTACGACTTATAAGCTAAGGATGAAACTAGAAGATTTAATTTGTACTCTAAGGAGGAACGACTATCATTCAAGAAGTTGTGAAGAAGCGTCGGGATAAAAAAAATAATGCAATTTGACTAGTGTTGGTTCGACTTTGTTTTCGCAACTTGGTCAGAGCGCCTTATGAGACGTACCTAATCCCGTGTCATCTGTCATAATATTCGTGACTTTCAGCATTATGCCATTGGCTGCGTACATTCCCAAAAGTTTGACCGGAATCGTCAGCACATAATTACAAATTGTCACTTTGATAAGTATTTAAGTGTTAGAACTTCGAAAGGCAGCAAATTGAGAAAAAAAGGGCACGTAGAAAGAACTGAATTCCAATCAAGGATAAAGAAGGACATGAGGGACAATTTCTATTTGGCAATACGATAAAAAGGTCTCTGCTTCTTAATTGATCTATAGCCACATTTGATACTATCAAGAAATTCTATTTTTTGGAATTCCCAGCAGGGCAATTAAAATATACCTATATAAAAATCACTAATTCTAGATTAGTTTTTAAGGCATAGGCAAGTAAATATGATTGCAAGCATCATGCACTTAAATAAGAATATGAAAATAGAGAAATAAGTAAACGTAACAGGTAAAAAATGACGAAATAAAACAGAGGCTTATAAATGCTATTAACAGCCGCAATAGTATAAAGAAATAGCACACCTTCAAATTGGGACCAAGACTGATAGCCAAAGCGAACGATAATTACTGAACTGTGTGAACGCTAGCAAGCAATCAAGCAAAAAGATACCTAGTTGAAAATCAACGAGCAGAAACGGTACGCTGTTTAGATCAAGAGATAATGGTTTTTAAAATATAAAAAATAAGAAATAAAACAGTTAATCTTATTATAAAAATATAAAATTATCAAGGGCGCAGAATCAATTAGTCGAAGATGTGGGCACAATGGAACTAATGAACAGCCTTTTGCTCATCAGTTGACTCGCAATGATTTTGTTCATCCTTGGATATGTGCTCATCTTTTTTATCAGAAATATCACTTGAAAATTTGTTAAAAATTTCTGATCTCTGTTCAGAAATTGTATTATATTTATCTGGAGATACTTTTGCGCTGGCCGACAACTCATTCACTTTTAGATATTGCAGCTCATTTGCCAGCTTATTGGTTTCAGAAGAATCAGCTTTTGATGCACATGACTCTGAAAAAAAGCAAATTATATAACTCGGAAGAAGCTTGAAACAGGCAAATATCCATGGATTGATTACCTTTAGTTTTAATATGCAAAACACCATTCTCGAAGATAGTTTTGAATGACTTAGCATCTAGAATTAAAAATTTGTAATCAACAGCACTTATGAAGCCAAAATAATAAATCAACACATGCAGTAAAAATAATGACTAATAAAATAAACAAAAACCAACTTTGCGAGGACCCAAAGCGAGCACCAAAAAGTTCCTTCTTCAGTACCTCGTCAGCATAATCGAACTGAGCCGTCCACACAAAAGCACGATCGCTTTCGCAACTAGCAACTAGAGACATTTCTGCAGATATGTAATGATTTGCACAGACCTAAGGTTGAGATAGAGATCTAAATATTACTTTAAGTGTTTTGTCGCGTCGCATCAAAATTCTATAGTCCCCGGTTATTTTATGCTTTAGAATCTTAAGGTATCCGGTGCCCCGTTCCTTCCATTCAGGTAGCTCTGGAGCCATATCGAACCTAAAAAGTCTAGCCCGACTTAAAGTAAATGAC